CGCAGTGCCTCGGCGCCATCTGCGGCGCCGGCATGGTGAAGGGGATCGCGGGGGCCAGCTACGAGACCCTCGGCGGCGGCGCGAACTCGGTGGCCGACGGCGTCTCGGTCGGGGCAGGGCTCGGCGCGGAGATCGCCGGCACGTTCGTGCTGGTGTACACCGTGCTCTCCGCCACCGACCCCAAGCGCACCGCGCGCGACTCCTTCATCCCCGTGCTGGTGCCGCTGCCCATCGGCTTTGCCGTGTTCATCGTGCACCTGGCCACCATACCCATCACCGGCACCGGCATCAACCCGGCCAGGAGCCTCGGCGCCGCCGTCATGTACAACCAGCACAAGGCATGGAAGGACCACGTAAGTAAATCATGGTTAAGATCGGACGGATGAACGTACGTACGTATACTCATCTCGTTGGCTGATTTTTGTTTGCACGCAGTGGATATTCTGGGTGGGGCCGCTCCTCGGCGCGACGGTGGCTGCGTTGTACCACCGGTTCGTGCTGCGCGGCGAGGCCGCCAAGGCGCTGGGCTCGTTCAGGAGCACCGGCGCCGCCACCGCACGAACCTAATCATACTGCGTGTGATCGTTCGAAGCTCGTTGATGCATATCCTGGCTCTAATTTAATTTGGTTGGTTATATAACTATATATTCGTGATGTATGCCTCGATCGTGAAATTATATTGTGTTGAACCGCGTAGCTTTGCATGGGCATGCATGCATGTGGCGTCTGTATTGTTTTCTCCATTTTTGCGCGTCTGTACTTGATTAACTTGCCCAGCTGTGTGAGGTTGTCCGTGAATAATTACAACCCTAACACATGTTTATATGTGGATGTGAAAGAAGAGGGAGAATAATAGTATTAATTTTTTTGGAGATTTGCTCATGAGAAAACAATTTGACTAGCTAAGAATATGTACTAGAGTGAACCAACATGTGATTGGATAGTTAGAAGGACAGTGGCATCCCCAGCCCACCAGGGTTCAAGTTCTGGTGCTCGCATTATTCCTGAATTTATTTCAGGATTTCCGGCGATGCGCTTTCGGGTGAGTGTATATGCATATGTATAAGCGCTTGCGAATGTACTGTGTTCAAAAAAATATGTACTAAAAAAGATTGTGAAATCTGCCCAAATAACTAAGGGTGGGCGTTCGCGTTTGGATGGGTTACGAACTGGAACGCACTCGTTCTCCGAAAGAGAATTTTCCATCAATATTCGGAACGCACTTGTTTGTCCAATTTGGTGGATCCACGCAGAACGGCCTCTTGCTCTCGCCTCTCACTTGTCTTTCCTGGCTGGGGTTGTACCTTGTGCTATGTGAAGGAAATATGCCCTAGAGGCAATAATAAAGTTGTTATTTTATATTTTCCTTATTCATGATAAAGGTTTATTATTCATGCTAGAATTGTATTGATCGAAAACTTAAATACATGTGAATACATAAACAAATACCGTGTCCTTAGTAAGCCTCTACTAGACTAGCTCGTTGATCAAAGATGGTTAAGTTTTCCTAACCATGGACATGTGTTGTCATTCGATAACGGGATCACATCATTAGGAGAATTATGTGATGGACATGACCTATCCGTTATCTTAGCATAATGATCATTTAGTTTATTGATGTTGCTTTCTTCACGTCAAATACTTATTCCTTCGACTACGAGATTATGCAACTACCGGATACCGGAGGAATACCTTATGTGTTATCAAACGTCACAACGTTACTGGGTGATCATAAAGATGCTCTACAGATATCTCCGAAGGTGTTTGTTGAGTTGGCATAGTTCGAGATTAGGATTTATCATTCCGAGTATCGGAAAGGTATCTCTGGGCCCTCTCGGTAATACACATCATAAGCTTGCAAGCAAATGACTAAGGAGTTAGTCGCGAGGCCATGTATTACAGAACGAGTAAAGAGACTTGACAGTAATGAGATTGAACTAAGTATGAAGATACCGACGATCGAATCTCGGGCAAGTAACATACCGACGGACAAAGGAAATTACGTATGTTGTACGGTTCGACCGATAAAGATCTTCGCAGAATATGTAGGAGCCAATATGGGCATCTAGGATCCGCTATCTGGAGTGGTGTATCGGTTATGTCTACATAGTTCTTGAACCCGTAGGGACCGCATGCTTAACGTTCGTTGACGATATAGTGTTATATGAGTTATGTGATTTGGTGACCGAATGTTGTTCGGAGTCCGGGATGAGATCACAGACATGTCGAGGAGTCTCGAAATGGTCGAGAGGCAAAGATTGACATATAAGACGATGGTATTTGGACACCGAAAGTGTTTCGGGACGTACCAGGATGAAATCGGGTCACCGGAAGGGGTTCCGGGCACCCC